TCGTGACCATTATTATCATCCTCCACCAGATAGACGTGGTCACTAACCTGTGTTCTCCTTCTGCAGAGGTTCCTGCCTTAGACGGGGACACTGTTCACTGCAGTTCTGTCTTTAATTAACGTTTTAATAAATCTAAATGTCTGTCTGCCATTAATACTGGGTCCTGATTGTTCTGAGCCGGACAGAAAACTATGGGATTCATCACTAACATCTCTCTTTTTTTTTAATCCAGCAACAAACTAGTGAAAGGATTTACATACAGGATTTGATTTGCCGACTTCAGACCATTCCCCTTGTTATCTTAGACCCATTTCTGTGTAGCTGTCGCCGCATACTTGCGCTCATTATCTTAATGGAAGACAGAGCTCTGCTACAATGAACTCTCAGCCAAAATATAATCTTTCTCCAGAACTTTGGATTATTTTTCTGCATTCGTGTTCCTCTCTGCCTTTGCCAGCCTCCGAGAGCATGCTTTTCAGAAGTGTCCCCAAAACATGCTGCAGCCACCACCTTGCTTCATGGAGGAGAATATGAATTCCTGAAGGTTTCCTCAAGGTTTGCCAAGCAGAGCAGAGTTCTTTCGATCAAAGGGCTTCAAGTCTATAAAATGTCTTTGGGTAAATTTTAGGCAAACTTGAGAAAATCCAGTAAAAATAAACCAGGCATCGTTACTTTTAAATTAAGAGTGACTTTAAGTACTTTGCTGTCCCATCTTTGTCTTGCCCATTGTGTGTTACTGCCACACTTCTTCCTTATCTAAAGGGTGGATTAAACTATAAGCCATGACAGATCCATTATATAGGAAAATTTTTGGGAGCAATGTTCTTTTATTCTCAGTGATCATTTCTCTGTGCTGCTTGGAGCGCTGTTTTGTCTTCCCATTTCAGTCGTCGCAGAAACACTGATGATCCAGAGACCTCCTGGGAGCAACTGTTTTTATGCTGCAATCACTTTTCCATCAAAGGATGGCTGGTAGTCTGTTGAATTAGGTTAGTCCCTTTAAAGGGGCCACCAATGTTTATGTAATCATTTATTCTATACATTTTTAGTACTCCCGACATTGCAGATAACAGACTTTAAAGGTTATTTTGTTATTTATTATCATCTATAAACTGAAAGTCTCAATTTTTATGTATGGGTTACCTTAGAAGTATCAATAGGAGTTGATTTTCATCTGTGGAGGCAGACATCTTTGCAGTATGGAAGCACAGAGCTGACAAACTAGTGACTCTAGATATGGCCATTACAATGTGAGGTCAGGCCTATATCCAATCCTACACAGACTAATTAAATACTATTTCTAAAATTATCTATGTGACCTAGACTTAATCAGGCTCAACTGGCTGGTTATTATGAAGACGACCGATTTCAGGTGACGGTTGTTGTGCTTTTTATAGAAAAACACATACAAATGGTCTCTGTAAAAGGTCTTTTTATTGTATCTACCTTTAAAAATTGGTGAAGAGCTGCACCACTGCACTTTCACTATGCTTGAATTCAGTTTACATGCAGTGAAATGAATGTACACGTGAGACACAGCAATAAATTAGGACATTATTAACATTTGAAAAGGAAAACAGTAACAGCCGACCAACATTAATACTGAATATAAAATAAATGCAATTAATCACATGATGCTTATCATTTTTCTAGCAATTTAGGTACAGATACAAGCAAAGTGACATTCAAACATCCGAGTTCACAGCAAATGAGCACCAGCTCGATTGAGTTCAAATCCTCTTTCTCTGAAGGCTGGGTCGGCCCGAGCAGTTTAAAATGCTTCTCAGCATCCTTGCTGAATCTTCTGTACCTAATAAAAGTCTGTTCGTCATCGTCACATGGAAGGAGGCTACAAAAAATGTAGCAGCAGCAAAATCAGAACACAGTTGTTAACAGCCGAAGAGACACGTTAATGCACTCCTGTGTTGGCGCTCAGATTCGTTTTCCTGTACCTCACTGTAACGCAACAGGCGTGTTCCCTTTCACACCACCGGCAGAAATGTCACTTGGATAGAAAAGGTTGGTTACATTTGGAAGAGGCTCCATTTTAGAACTTGAAAAGACAGCTTTACCTTTCTTTTTTTTTTAACAGCAAACGTTCCCAGTGTGAGGCATAAACAAATAAAAAGAAAATAGAAAAAATATATATGACCAGCATTTACCAGCAGAGATATCAACAAGTATATCAACTTGAAATATTTGGCTCATACTTTATTTCTAAGCACACTGGAGAAGGTTTGAAAGGAAGCACCTTGTTGATAGCACCAAAAGCCTAGTTAGGCCCTAAGTCTTGGAGCATAGAGGGAGAAAATAATGGATATGTAAAGAATTCATGCAAAACAAAAAGGCACTACGATGAACGGTGGGAATCACTTCAAGAGATAATACAGAAAGTTTAAAGGTTCTGTTAAGGAGACTGTAGTTAACAAAGAGTCCAAGAAGGGCTAACCCAAAAAAGTTTCTGATTATCTAAAACCTGCGAAAATAAATGAAAAAAAAATTCACCTAAAGCTCAATAATACTTGATCTTTTAGCTATTGTAGCTCTGTTTCACTTAGGAAACTTACTGCTTTGTGTCCTGTGTGAATAATTATCACCTTCCCATCGTTAGTTATAATGTTTTCCTAAAGTTTGTTGGCATTTTCTGTTTGAAGTTCCGTAGAAATTTGTGTTCAGTTGGCATTAGCTTTAGCTTTAGCCTCTGGTTCATGCTAATCAGAATTTACACTGAAGATTTCACCAGAGTTATTGACTTTAAACAAATACCTTATAGTAGTAAATGGGTATAAATGCTGTATGAGTTCGTTTTATAGAGATTAAGTAGAGAAAATAAAATCTAACCCTCAGAACAGCTCACAAAACATCTTGAACATTATGATACTCTATGTCGACATTCTGTTGTTTGGTATTCAACTTTCATGACTTTATATACTGTTAGAACAGTTCTGTTTTAAAAGTAATAATTTGTCCATCGATTAGATTTATCCTGTAAAAACGTTTAATCAACTAAACTGGACACAAACAGTAAGCAGCATATCCTCGTTAAAGGTATACTATGCAACCGGTGTTGATTTTCCAGCGAGGCTCCCCCCAGAGGGCGAAAGTAAAAGTGCACTGTCGTAAATATGCTCAGCTGTTCTCCTGGTTTCTCCGTCAAGCCAGGTGCGGTTGTTTTGAGCTTAGCAGACAGGCGAACGCAACGAATCAACATGTCTACTGCGGTAAGTGACTATTTTGTTTCAATTTTCGAGTTAGAAAATTTAGCATGTTTTCATACATTAGTTGTTATGCATGTGTCTAAATAACAAAGATTGTAGTTAGCCAAGTTCTCGCCGTAAAGCAAGACCAACTCTCGCGATGCCCGAGACTTCTGAGCCTGTGGGTGCGGGCCGAGGGCTCCTGCAATTGCAAGTACAGTATTTCGCGTACAGACCACCAGGGAGGCCGAGAAAACCTTTGTTCGACCTGAAATGACTCATTTAATCATCCAAAACATTATGGAACACATTAATTAACTGAAAAATGTTGCATAGTATGCCTTTAAGATTTGACAGGATGCTGACGATGGAACTGGGACTCAACTTTAGATATTATGAACGTCATTGTTGTGCCAAAAAAATGGTTTGAGAAAAAAACTCCAAATAAAAAGTCCACATAAGGCTCTGGAACAGGGATCTCCTCAGATCCAATAACCCTGGTGATCAGGGACTACATCTTTTAGACCTGCTGTAAAACCAAGCCTTTCCAGCACCTAGTGGCTGCTAAAGCAAATTTAACCAGCTGTGTTGGAACAGAGATGCGCCTAAAATAACAATAATGCATCCAGAAAAAGAGGAATGAATGTTTTTTTTTTTCAAAACAGAACTTGACATGAACTTTCCAGACCAGAATGCTGTTAATCTGTAAACCTTAGGTCATCCCCGGATCCACAACGCTGGATGATGCTACAGTACATGCATAGAAGCATTAACAATATCTGGCATGCCTCAATGTTTAATTAGATCTATAAATGTCGACGTCCATTACCGTAAGATGTGATGAAGCTTAGATTTCAGTCAAATCAAAACGTTATCTGGCTGCATAGCTCATGTTAATGCTTTTCTAAAACAGCCAAAAAGAACGTGTTTTAATTTTAGCTCAAATGAACAGGCTGCCTCTAATGCTCCCTTAAAAGGAATATTTCACATGTGAGTTATAAGCTGCTTGAATAGAAATTAAATAAACTCTTCTAGCTGGCAAAATTTCATGTGGCCCAAAGAAAACCAGGCAGAATATCTGGGATTAATGGGAAATTCTGCCTGACTGGGTGGAGCTAAGGCACCAAACTGGGAATAGAAATGATAAATTCTTCTATAACCACGTGGTATTTTCTGGTTTTAGATTAATATAATTTATAATACACAAATCCTTACAGTATACAAGGGTCTAACATAGGTTACGGTATAATTTCATTCCAGCAGACAACGTTATTGTTTATACCTCAATCATATTACATTCCCTTCCATGACAGTAGGCTACTGTTTGACAGAAACATCAGTGGATGCTCTGTTTGGAGTTGTACAATAAATATACAGTACACTGAGGAGGGGAGGGTTCTGTTCTATGTCTGAACTGTAAATTGGAGTATTTACATGAAAAAGTGCACTGAAGCCAGATGTCACCACGCACCTTTCCAAAGGCGGGAGTCCGACATGCTGGACTCCCGCCTCCCTCTTAATCTGCTCCTCTCCTGGGTGCATCACACGTGAGTGAAGCATCCAGCCCTTGACATTTACAACACAAAAAACATGCAGGAAGACTGATAATGATATCATCAATTATTATTATAATAAAAATAATATCATCAAGAATTAATCTTCCTAATTCCACTTCACAGAAGCGAAAAAAAAAAATAAATAAATAAAAATGGAAAAAGTTTGTTTCAGCGTTACGGGCTGAGCAGTGGTTAGGTTTCCACCAGAAAGGAGGGCAGGATGAAGGGCTCCGACTGTTTTAAGGTCTGGGCAGCAGCTCTGGGCTCTTTTTCTTCTTTTTACCTTTAAGAACTGAGCGAGGAGTTTTTTTTTTTTTGTTTCAGCCTGCCTCATTTTATTTTTTGTACACCATTTAAGTGCTTTATCCCTCCATCTTCTTTGCCTTTGTATCCATCTCCTGTTCTTTATAAGCACCATTCCTTGGTCAGTGCCCCTGGCAGGTCTTGCAACACATCTGTCTGAAGTATCCTCTGCTGCAGAACTTGAACTTGAGGACCAGAGGGCAGTACGCCACCTTGTTTACATCTTTGCATTCTGAGGAAAAAAGAAACAATGTTTGGTTACTCTGAGAGAAAAGCTTTCATTTGCATGTCTGCCTTTTAAATAGTTGACCAGCGTGTATCTGTGTTAGAATCAGTTAAGATAATGAGAAGAATCTAATATTCATTATCTAGTGGATTATTTAAAGGTCATAGCTTCAAAATAACTTTTCAAAGATATTTGAATCCAAAGAATCCCTACAGTGAATAAAAGTGTTTATTTTACTGAAAAACAAACCAACTAACATTAAAATTGTTTTCTAGGTTTTGGCAGGTCCAAAATGCATATATATTAACTCATCTTTATGATGCAAAAATCAACATAAAGGATTATACACTGATCGCAATAATAGGTAGATGCCAAGTGAGCTTGCGTTCAATCATTGCCACTTCCTTCTAGCTCTGTAGCAGAGCTGGGAACTTACTTCTAGGTAGCCTAGTAAACTAGCCCCACCTGCCAGCGGTTGCCTGAGAGTTGTCTAGCCTCGATCAATGCTCCAGGCCCTAGAACTGGCGGGCCAATCACAACGCAGAATGTGTTTTGAATTTTTGGATGCAGAGCGGGCGGGTTTTGAGGGCGTGACGACAAAGCTGCACGACGCTGGAGAAATCACAACAAGGAAGATGGGAACAACTATTGAACAGTAGCATGCACTGCGGCAGCAGCAGCAGGTTTCAATTGAGCATTCCATGGAAAGCTAAAAGTTCCCTTTTCTGTTGCTGTTATTCAATAAAGGTACGTTTTAAGATCATTTGAGGCGAGAACATTATATTTTAAAGCGTCACTATATGGTCCATTTACAGATTTAATGCATAATTAAAAAAACAATTTCCAAAGTCACGGGAGCCCGGGCTAACCACAGCCCGTCTGCAGCGACTCTCTCTCGGCATAGTCGGGTGTGAAGGACTGCTGGCTATAATGGAGATTTTTGACTCAGCTTTGGAATCAGTTTTTGGATGGATTAGACTTGGGGTTTTCGATGAAACGTGAGCACAAAGAGGCTCTACGCTCATTCATTTTTAAGAAGGAAGTATTCGCCGCTTTACCGACAGGCTTTTTGTTTACAGTCCCCCACCAGCTTTCTGTCGCGCTTACTATGTCACAGTCAGTTGTGCTGATTGGTCAGAGCGTTGGCCAATAGGCACAGACATGGTTTAAAACACAACAGGTTGTTTTCATCAACAATCTTCCGATGTCACACATTTAATCTCACATTTAGTCTGGTTTATCAGGCTAACTTCTGTGTACATTTCTTAGATAAAAGCATCATATTTTCCTTTTTCATTCTCAAGCTTAGCTTTGTTTATTGATCGTGATTTAGTGAACTTAGAAAGTACAAAAAATACAGTAGGGCTAACCTGCTGAAGGGGGGCAGATTATCCCCCCTGAGCATCAGTAGAGTAAAACTCTGCAGCCGCACTTGGATACGGAGACTAAGACTGAGAAAGATGCTGGCCTCACTCACTAACTGGGCAGTTTGCCATTCCTAGGTTACAAACGTCATGCTCCACCTCCCCCATCACACACACACGTGCAAACTTCTTTCTGGATGCCGGACAGGCAGCGCTCTATATGCCTTATCATGATCAGAGTGTCTTCCCTTATTAGGCTTTGGCCCCTTCCTCTTCAGAGCCAAATGAAACTAGACATTGCCTCACTGCTCTCCGTAAAGGAACAATTAGCCTACAGCTAATCCCATTAGCCAGCCTGTAAACGCTGCTCACGTTTTCCATTCGGGCTAATCGAAAGGCCCCTCTGTATGCATCTGAACAGCCATCCATCATGTGTAAGCGTATATGGAGGCTCGAGCCGCCTCGCTTTGACTAGGAGTCCACATTACTGGAAAGATTAATGTAGCTGGCAAAGTGCAGAGGTGTGTGTCATCCCCGAGTGTTTAGGTCACAGCAGAGCTGTGAAGTTGAAGACAGAGATGGTGTATAACCTTTAAGGTTAAAGAAAACATCAATGCAGAACCAGTATGTTTGGTGACATGTTTGGATTCTGTTGCTGCCTCGTTTTTAATGGGGGTCTTACCATCGCTGTTGGAGTTTGGGATGGCGTCACATTTGCTCTCACACTGCTGCATGGTGGCAGGCCGGAGGGATTCTGGACACTCATTTGATGGCTGTCCAGTATAGGACAGACAGGTGACCGTCCTCATCTGCTGGCCCAGGCCGCACTGAGCTGAACACTGAAACAGGGAGACGACAGCGTGTCATGATGATATTAAGGTCTGCATTCATCTGGATATGGGGTGGATTCTGGGGATGGTGTGACTGGGTTGCTGTGCTCTGTACCCGAAATCTAAGCATGTCTCTTTGGCCTCTGGGCCACTGTTCCTTTTTCACATGAAGCCAGGGAGGGAAAACATCCCATAATAATAAAAATAAAAAAAAAACTTCTAGTAGTGCCAAGTAGAGACTTAGAAATGGACAGCTGAGCAAGTTCTACAACTTATTGTTTTAGGATACAAACAATTACCAAACTTTTATAGGCAAATATAAATATTTTGCACGGTACACATCATATTTGCAGGAAATAATTAACCAGTTTGTGGCTGATTAAAAAGAAAAAATTCTTTTTTGGTCTTTTGTTTAAAGGAATAGTACACCCAAAACATGATTAGCCTTCATTGTCTACTCACCCCCATGCTGAACAACACTCTGGAGTACTTTTTTGATATCTCAAATGCATCTGGAGATCTGGGAGGCTTCTTGCTGTCTGCTGACATTCAAATAATGGAGGTCTATGGCGCCCGAGGCAGAAAGGTCCATAAAAGTCCACAAAAAACGTGTCAGTATTCCTCCATACTGCTCGTCCAATGTATTCCAAGTGTCCTGAGTGGGTAGCATCCAGAATTTACTCGAAACAAAGTCATTTAGAATGTTTTTAGAGCATAAACAGTAGTGTATAGGATTTCCTGAAAGCGCGCACATGCGCGATCACGACGCTACGGAAGCCGGCAGACCAAACCAGCGCATTCAGCTCGGCAAAGAACTCATGCTCTTCCTCAACACTGAAGTCCTCAGACATTTTTCTTTCGTTGTTTCTTTCTTTGCACAGGTAAACAGCACATTTCTTCTTCTACGCTTGCATTATTGGAAGAGCAGACGCTGAATGCGCACTTTCATCTGGTTTGGTCTGCCGGCTTCCGTAGCGTCGGGAGCGCGCATGTGCGCGCTTTCAGGAAATCCTATACATTACTGTTTATGCTCTAAAAACATTCTAAATGACTTCGTTTCGAGTAAATTCTGGATGCTACCCACTCAGGACACTTGGATTACATTGGACGAGCAGTATGGAGGAATATTGACACGTTTTTTGTGGACTTTTATGGACCTTTCTGTCTCGGGCACCATAGACCTCCATTATTTGAATGTCAGCAGACAGCAAGAAGCCTCCCAGATCTCCAGATGCATTTGAGATATCAAAAAAGTACTCCAGAGTGTTGTTCAGCATGGGGGTGAGTAGAAAATGAAGGCTAATCATGTTTTGGGTGTACTATTCCTTTAATAAGAGGTTGGTGTGTTAGCAAAAAAATTACTAAATAGGACTCCTTCAACATATCTCTATTGGCGTAAGAGTAAAAAATATCGATACAAGAAATTACTTTAGTATGAATAACATTCCTGTACTTAAGTACTAAATAACTATTATTCTAAAATGCAGTATGTCAGACTGACTGTAATGAAAAGTTGTGTTCACCTTTTGTTTTTAAAGTCTAACATAAAATAAGACTGGAAGAATAAAAAATAAAATCAGGATTTTTTTTTAAGCAAACATCTAATACCATTTCACAGTAAAAAAAAAAGCATGTAAGATCTTAACACTAAAACAACAAAGATTGTGTACAAAAAAGGGTACTGATTTTAGTGAAACTGTGTCTGGTGCCGAGGACAGAGTAGAGATACATCATGATACTATTACTTTGGTAAAAATAAAAAGTAGGGTGCAGTTTAACTACTCCTAAAAGTACATTTTTGTCTAAAACTTACATAAGTAAATGTAAAGCGGTAAATGTAACTAGTTACTACGTATGTCTGTGTTTTATGAGTAGATATTGCCTTAAAGACAACAAAACACCTGATAAAATGAGGTTTTACATTAGTTTTTTCATTTAAAATTACACTTTTAACAAGGCAAAATATTAGAAGCCTTAATTCATGAACGGAGTCTGGTGTGGTATTGCTTGGTTGGAAAGAAAACCCGCAGCTACATGGCCCTTTCTGGACCCGGTTTGAGACCCCTGCAATTAGAATAGAATTCAACTTTAATGTCATTACATTGTCACGAGTACACGGCAACAAATTTAACTCTCTGCATTTAATCGATCGCTTTGGAGAGCAGTGAGCTGCTATTGTGAGGCGCTCGGGAAGCAATGTGGGGGCTAAGGGTCTTGCTCAGGGACCCAGAGTAGCAGTCTGTGGGAGTGGGGCTTGAACTCAGAACTTCTGGGATCCAAGCGCAATGCCCTTAACCACTAGACCACCACTCCCGCATATATGACTCATATATGTCTGCATAATTTCAGGTCATAGCTTAGAGATCGTTTGAGCTAGGAGATAATTGGAGTTTTCGAATTGGGAATATAAATTAACTAGACCAATTTCGCCAAGAAAGTGAAAGTGGTCTAGATGAATGCCAGAAAAATAGCACGCAGTAGTGGCTTCAGATCAGTGCATGTTTTATCAAACCAAACAAACTACGTAGAATTGCAGGTGAAACTGAATCTGAACTTTTATAACTAAGAAAGATATAACTAAGAAACTGTTTTAGTGGGATGTGACCAAAAGTGTTTCCTTGTCTGTCAGGCTGCCAATTGTAATAAAAACTCATTTCTAGCCCATAAAATTTCTCTAAAGAAACAGAGAAACAAACAAAGGCCAATTAAAACACAAAGACTGGAGATGCCAGCTCACCTTTGACATTACGGCAATAAACGACATATTCCTAGAATGAAGCAGCTCATGAAAGCCGATGTTGGCAACACTGAACAACACACCTGTCAGCTACAAACAGTCAGGGCCAAACGTATTACCAGGGTTTGGGGGATCTAACTTTAACAACATACATTTATTTTGTTTATATGGTTATTAAGAAAAAAACACGGCTTTTATTTGCTAGCAATCCTTCAAAAATGTAGTTCGTTAAATTTGATATGGTCTTATCTGCACTGCTGTCCATCTTGTTCTGGGAAGGCTAGAAAAAAATTTAATTGTAAATTCTAATCTGTTCTTTAAAAAAATAAATCTAAACAAACCAAGTGAAAATAAAATTCATGATTTGTCAGCGCAACAGTTTGCAAAGCACGTCTGCACTAACGTCCTTCTTTCTGTCACCTTCAAAGATTTCACCTCACTGCGGCAGATCGGTAATCTTGCATGTCATCCCTTCGCAATTACAACGTCTTTATTATGACCGGTCCTGACAGACGCCATGCGTCAGTGGAGAAGCTTATGTGGGGTTTGAAGTGTCGACCTTTTGACCCCAGAGTGGAGACTCTCAATCTCTCTTTTCTGAGCATCTAGTTGCCCATCGAGGATGAAAGCTTCTGCCTCCGACGTGACAAAGACGTCTGAACGGTGACATCATCCACCCGGCAGAACTGCCCTCCAAACAAGGCGAACGCTCTGTTTAAATTCTTCACTTTCACTTTAAATTATTGACAAATCCTACAAAATAACAAGCCATACTTTCTGTAGATATAACTATGTATGACGCACAACTTTTTGGCTTCTTCCCGCCTCTGTGAATCAGCTGTGCTGTAATGTGTTCAGCAGATTTTTCTGCACGCACTCAGTCATGTCAGGGTGAGCTTAAGAATGCTACTCCTCTGTCTCTCCTTCCAAATCGTGTTCCTGGAAGTGACAGAGAGTCCTGCTCCGAGGCAGAGATAAACTTCAAACAGCCAGGAGAATATTACTGCCAACAATCACACACAGGCCTGTTGGAACACTTAGACCCACAAACACAGCCGCTATGCACACACACGTGTTACGGGCCGGCCTAGAACTCCCCGTCAAACATTTAGGGGTAAATTATACAAACATTACCTTGTTTTTTATTTAAAGCTTTAAAAAATATGAAACTATTTTATACTTTAGAGTTTCTCACTGAACTTAGATTGCCTTGCAAAAAAAATGTTACCCCATACTTTTTATGCTTTTTCTCCTTGAGATTTTATACGACCAACGCAAGTAGTGCACTTTATAACCTGGGCATGTATGGAGTGAACGTGGTTCCATTATTTTTGCAAGAAAGAATCACAGTTTGAAAATGAACATTTGCAAAGAAAGTGCAATCCAGAAATTAAACAAAAAAAAAGTTTTCAGAGCAACTTTGCTGTTTTCTAAGATTTTATTTCATTTTTTTCAAACTTAGTTTTTACATTTAATTTTTTTTCAAAAAGTATGTATATGTGTGTGTATATATATATACATATATATATATATATATATATATATATATATATATATATATATATATATATATATATATATATATATATATATATATATATATGTATACTTATTTTATTTTGTTCAAATTTCTGTTTCTTGGATTGAGTTTTACAAATTGCATTTTTTCAGATTCACTTTTGGGGGCGGGCTTTCCTCTGGAGTGAGGAGAGAAGACACATTTCTATTGGTCTGCTGGACGTAAGCAACAATATTGTATTGGACAATTTGTGAAACAATAGGGAGCATTTGAATTGGGATTAAAGAAAGAGAATCTGATCTGTGAAACGTAATTTGAAAAGAATAAAACTTAATCTGAAAAATGAGAAATTAAAACAAAAATATATGAAATTAAAATAAAATTGCTATTATCTGTTGAAAGATTATTTTGGAAAAACTTCATAAGGTAGTCAGTGGTTTTGAGGTAATGTCAGACAAAGGACTCCAACTCACCAGGAAGGGACATTGCAAGTTTTCTGTGCCTAAGGGACTAAGGAAGGAAACATAGAGGCTCCTTTTCTTACCTCCTTCCTTATTGCCAGCACTGTTCATACAGCAGCTCACACGGCGAACATTGATTCAACGAGTCATGCCTGGTTTAGACCAATTGAAACAAAACATAGGCTCAATCCGAACTGGGAAGATTGGTAAGGAAACTTGACTCTAAGCCGAAGTTCATTAGCGGTCGCAATTAAAAGTGCTGTCTGAATGGTGTTGGCAGTATGGAAGGAGGTAGGAAGATATTGATAGCTCATTTAGCACAGGGACATCACAACATTCTTGATTTCTTCTAGTTCTTTTCTGAAAGGCTATAGGCTCTTGGTTTTAACAAACATAATTTATGTGCGTTTCTGTAAAGTAATGATATAGGTAAGGCCAAAGACGGGTTTTGGTATAGCAGTCTGGAGCATCTTCCCTACCCACAAAAGTGTTCTTAATGTTGAACCCACATAAAGTGTAGAAAGAGGAGATAGGAATAGCAGCCAATTCTGAATCAGCCATATTGTCCGAACTGAGGAATGGAGCCAGACTACCTGTACAAAGCAGATCCCTGCAGTTTAAAAACATGCAACCCTCATGAAGAACCAAGGACAGGAGGCACCATTGCTCACAGCTACTCTACTCTGCAGCCCAGAAAATATTCCAAACACCACTCTTTTATGCCAGGTGTGTTATAAAGTAAAAATATAAAAGGTGTCTAATTTTCCATGAAGTCCCCTGAGTAATTAGAATGTGGAATTGCCTTTGACCTTTAAGGGAACGTGCCAGCTTTTTTAAGATCTACATTTTCCAATTCTTTGTGAGCTAACTCAGACTGGATGGAGAGCATCTCTGAACATGGTACTTGGCTGCTTTTAGTTTTCTGTAAATGAAGCGAAAGGCCAGATGTATAGAGTTAAAAACTAAAAAAACTGTTGTGTCACCAGTTTCTGCCAACTGGGCAGTGGATCTCTGATCCTCGCCTAGTGGAGCTTGTCAGTTTGTTGACCAAATCTGGCAAAAGGGGTCGACTACTGACCCACAGCTTTGTTTGAAATGTGAAAAAGTTAAAGGGTATGAGTATTTGTGTATTGGGTTCCAGTCATACCTGTCCCCAGTCACCAGGGATCCAGCGGGGAGGAGGACATCGCCCTAAGCTGCAGCGCATTCGGACCGGAGGTTTGTTGTGGCTCGGGCAATGGGTCGGCGGGAAGGTTTTGGTCAGATCGCTGCTCTTGCACAAGGCAATGCGATGCTTGAAACCTGGGCCACACTTAGGTATACACTAAATCCCAAGAAGAGAAAGCTGAAATATAAAGATTTCAACAGCAGTAGTAGCTAAAGGAAACAGAAAGCATCACCTCACCTCTGACCATTCCAGAGTTACCCACTTTGGGGGACAGGACTGATTATTGCAAGACTCTCTTTCAATAGGCCGATGCGTAAGGCAGAAGGTGTCCTCCAGGGTCTCCTCCTCAGCAGGGCCAATCTTCCTGATACACAGGACAGTCCTGGTCCGTGTCCCACCGTCACACGTCTTTCCGCACTCTGACCAGTCACCAATAAACCACCTAACAGAGTAAAGGTTTAAGGTTAATAAGACGAACAGAATAAAGCAAAGGAAAATCACATTATTGCTTCTGACAATTTTTTTTTTTTTTTCTATTTTATTAGTTATCAAATTGAAGTTCTGTAGCCAAACATTATGAAAGGGTTGTGTTTCCATCTTATAAGAGGAAAAAACACAGGTTTCTTGTCCGATATGGTCAGATAATGTGGAGGCTGACCGTTCAGACCACTGCAGTTGAACACAAATACTTCAAAATGAACTATGGAATCTATCCACTGAAGGGACAGTGTAAAGCCAGTGTTATTAGTTTGTTTACTGGATTTAGTAAAACATCCAGCTGCTCCATTCTTAATCCCTTGGAGGAGTCAAACTCTTAATTAGTCAAAACAAAATAAAGAAAGCATGGCAGTAATCTAGGCACAAGGAAACCCTTAATAAAAAAAAACAAAACAAACAAAAACGAATGAAATGAGATCTTGTTTTCCACAAGGATTAGTATGAGGACTTTTATTATTAAGTCTTTATATCAAAAATCTTCCACTCTATTGATAACAATGGTAAACAGGTCGGCGTTAAATAAGCTAAAACTGCAGCAAAGCTAGCCAGACTGCTAAAGAACCTTTTCATTAGCTTCATTAGACGTATTATTTTTTGTAATGCAAATAAAATGAAATCAAAGTACAATGGTTTTCTCTTAAAAGGACATGGCAAATGATCCAAATGTGAACTTTTATCAAATATGTTGGAAATATTAAAGAAAAGGTTAAAAAAAAAAATTTTTCTGGTCACGTCCAAGATTTTTTAGGCCTGCTGTGATTCTTATCAAGGCTTGTTGAGTCTTAAAAAACAAAAACAAAAAAAAAGATTGTAGGATAACAATGCACTTGAGATTTAATAAATGTCTGTCATTACAATTTAAGACTGTTTTCAAATGAATCTTATTCAACATCGTAAACGGTCCAGCCCCTTCTCCTCTAAGATATTTTTTTGCCGTTTTTGTTGTTTTTCAGGCAATCAGCCTCATCAATGGAACAAGATGTGTAATGATGTGAAGAGCTGTAGCTCTATCATGTTCTCCAAATCCAATCTTAAAACCTCCCACAGTTACTTGTTGTTTTCCCTGATTAAGATGTTGTTACATTACAGTGCACGTGAGCTGAAGGTAAATGCATCAGTTAATATGTGTGTGTGTGGTGTTGTTGTTGGCTTAGATCATATTTTCTATAATATACTAAATCTGTTCTAAAGCCTGTCTTTGTGAGGCCTGTTGCAGGGCTCTAGATGTAAGTAAGTTTACAGCTTTAATTGGGTATCCTACATCCAATAGTGGCATTTATGTTTGAGCTAAGGTAAAGTGTCTGATGTGTGAGTCAAATCGCAAAGGGGTATGTAATATTTCTGTGTCTTGGCTGCTGAGTGAAAGGAAACAACAACCAGGTTGATTTTAAGATGTTAGTTGTTAGAAGTCAGAGACAAAAGGCAAGAAAGCCAGTCATACACCAATAACTATATGTAATCCGCAAAGGTATGAACATACTATACCTATATGGAAGTCAAGATAAAACTATATTGTCCAAGGAATAAGCTGGATGGAATGCTATGAACTAGATCGTCAGACTAGCAGTGGGCTTATACTTAAAATAGATGTGTTGTGTAATAAGCTCAACATAAAAGGGACTGTAAATGACAGCTACAAATGGGAAAAGGCCAACAGAAAGGTGCAATGGCAATGGCTTGGAACATTTGTCTTCATTAAATTTGAATTGAATTGTTATAATTATGAAATTGGAGGGATTTTTAGATTTTCAAAGCAGTTCATCACTAACCAGGGATCAAGAATGAAAGAAGATTTTACTGAAGATCAATTAATGATATAATATAGGAGACAAAGGTTAATGGTTTCTTGATGTTGAAAGTGATTGTGTAGCATGCTCTTCTCCTTTTGGTTAGTCAATATAAACCTCCCTAGTGCCAATGCAACAACAACATCTTCCAACTTTCCTGTGTTGCGTCACAAGCCCATATGCATGACTTTTGCAGGTTGCTTGGGTGAAGCATTGAAGCTATGGGAGCAATATTGATTCAAAATGATTTGCAAATGTGTGTGGAGAGTTGTGTGTCTGTATCTCGCTTTGTGTGTGTGCAGTGGGATTTAAAAATGTGTAAATAAATCTGGAAATGCATCAGGAGATGCAAATGTGTAAAACTATTTGTGTGTGTAATCCGGTTTGCAAATGTGTAAAAAATTCCTCAAATGTCATGGTCTTGGTTCGGTTTAAGTTTTCTTTTGAGTTTTCAGTTTCACATTGATCCATATTTTTCTTTGTTTTATTGGTTTAATTCCTATTTTGTGGTGTTTTCTGGATGTATTTAAGTTCTTAGGTGTTTCTTGGTTGTCCTCTTGTGTTGGTCTCCTTTTCCCTATCTCCTTCTAGCATCCTTTGTTCACACCTGCTCCCAATCAGCTCATTAGTCCTGTCTTTGTTCAGTCTCCCATATACACTCTCCCTGTGCAGTTCCTCAGTGCTGGTTCTTTGTCTACGTTCACACTGCAGCCTGAAGTGAATTCCAATTTTTTGGCACATATGCGACCTGGATCTGATCTTTTCATGGCAGTCTGAACAACACAGATCAGATTTTTTCCAATCTGACCCAGGCCACTTGGCTATGTGGTCCTGAATCTGATGCGACCTGTGTCTAAACGGCCAGGTCGGATTCATCCGACCTGAACGTCATTAATACTGGACAAAGGTCACTATTCTGTGTCTTGCTATGCAGAAGCGGCAAGAAAAACAACAACCATAGCAGATGATGATGCGGAGAGCAGTATTTATGTATAAACATATTGAAAAGAATGAGTTTTTATGGTTGGAAAAGACGCGCGCCAGCACTACATTTCCGTAAACATGGAGCACGCTGGTCTGTGACGTCATCGCGTCCTCTACTGCGCATGCGGGACACTTGCGTTGTATGACTGCAGTTCACACAGGAGATCACATAGAAGTCGCATGTATTTGAAAATGTGAACGGCAACGCAAAAAGAAAATCGGATTTCACAAAAAAATCGGAAATGAGCATCAAGGCCTGCAGTGTGAACGTAGGCTTTGTCTTTTCCTGGCTCCCCACATGAGTTTTCCCATGAATTTGTCTGGTTTTCTGGTTCCATGTATTGTCTACTTTGGTTTTTGCCTCAGTTATTTGATTAAATGTACAAGAACTCACCTCTGTGGCCTCACCTCTGCATTTGGGTCCTCAAAACCCCAACCTAACCCTACCAACAACTCTGTATTCAGATCTACAAATGTGTACTAAGATTTGTAAATGTGTGGATCAATCTTTAAGCACACACAGAGACACTTATGTCTGAAGTGTTTTCGCTTCAAGACCCAGAAATATAGACAAATCATCAGTTACAAGTCAAGCATTTTCTCGGTTGGCTATACATGTGATTTTTGCTACAGTTCTGACGTGTGAGATCTGCAAATGTGTAGAGAAGAGTGGTTTGAGTAATATCTGGATTTGCTGCCCTGCACAAGTTCAATACAGAATGACTAGAGAGGGCCAGACGTTGCCTCCCTGTTTGTCAAGCTCTTTAGACTTAACCTAATCCCTTCGCACTCTTGAAAAACTGACTCATCTTTTGACTGCTCTCATATGTTTACTGTCAACATCTTTTATGAAGTCAGAATGTTCGGGAAACCCCACCTCTTGAGAAAGTATGTTTTTTTTTTGTTGCAATTTAAGACCTGAATTCTGGCTTCTTATCAAACAGCCATCTCTGTTATCAACTGACTAGTTTATAAAAACACAAAAGGAAAATTGCCTAACAGAAGATACAAATTATAAATGTGAGTTTTTATCTTCAACTATAAAAACAGATTTCATTCAGGGTATAAACAGTGAAGCTAATATTAGCTTTTTACAATAATCCTATTAAACATTTTAGAGCATGTTACCACTGCTGTTAGAACATATATATGATTGTGTTAAAATCACGAGTTTACTTAACGAATTTTTAACTCTTTTAAAGAAAAGTGATTAGCTTAAAGATACTTTGCTAACGTTACTAGTCGAGGACTAAGGCCTCCCTACATGGATCATGTGCACTAACCACTGCGCCACCTGCACGCCCTTCTGAGACAGTTTTGACGCTTCTTACATTTTCTTTGTTAAACTGCTTTTCTGACGTCATCATCAGACATGCGCAGAGCAGTCCAGCAAAAAAACGCTATAAACTCTGCATGCCAGCATCTCCCCACACACCAATTAAAATGAAAAACAAATCAGCTGTATCTGCATTTTTTTAATTATGCACAAAAGCCTTTAAAAATAAACACATTTTATTTAGTATTGTGTGTTTCTTCTTTGATTCCTGTTTGGTTGTTGGGATCTTGTTAAAGGTCTAATACTGACCCTGATATATGATTATATTATATGCACCCTATTGGTTTTGAATGTATTTTAAACATATCGTGATTTTTATCGTGTATTGTGATTAAAGCTAATATATATCATTATATTAGATTTTCTTCATAATGCCCAGCCCTATGTTAGAGACCACTGCACTAACTCTTACCCCTATACCTAAAGAAATACTTTCATACATGTCACCATACACTCCTAAAACTATCAACAATAACTTTGTTGGCTAAAACTGTCATCAAAGGTCACAGTCACGTGATGCAATGTCACCTACCTGCAGTCAGTACATGTTAAATATGTTATGTGTTGGGCACACAGGTCTGTCACAAAACAAACTACTGTATCTATCTACTGAAAGCAAAGTAAGAATAATGAAACTTCTAATCTGAAAAAGAATGTTAAACACATATTTAGGTCCAGATATCCATACGTGTCCACTACAAAATGAATGATCTCAGAGAGCCGATCGTTGTTACTTGGCAGTCAGGAAATAATGAGTGTATTTTAGTGTCCAGTGCGTCATAATTACTGGCTAGAAAGCTTTTGGCCTCATGAAAATATGAGACATATTCTTGTTCAGCTCTGTCTACTCACTTAAACATTAACATAAAACAACAGCCCTCTAAACATATTGAGCCAGTGAGATATTACATCATCTGCTGGAATGTATACAGAATTAACAACATGTTCAAACATCTGTGTCAGCTTTCATTAGCAGAGCCCATAAAACCTGGCTATTCTAAAACAATGATGTTTATGGTCTTCTTTAGATGGCCTTTTCTGACTCTGTGAGGGGTTGTTTGCCTTCCTTAACAAAAACAAATGTCATACTCAGTGCTATAACTCAGTACAGATATGCAAGGCTGTAGCTGTCATCAAAATAAATGTGATAAGGCATGTTTAAGTCCTTTGGATACAAATGTGGACGATGAATAACCCAGGACAATCATCATATGAATTCAAAATATGGTTGAGTAAATTTATGAGACCAAATGGTGCTAAAAACATATCCCTTCGCTTTATTAGGTGCATTTTCCAAGCCACCCGCTGTGAGCTCACAGATCAACAAGGTGTCATAGACATTCCCCCAGAGATTTATGTCCGTTTTGACATGATAGCATCACATAGTTGCTACTGATTGGTTGGCTGCACATTTCCACTGAACCACATCCCAAAAGCATCCCATTGGACTGAGGTTTGGTGAATATAAAAGCCACTGGAGTACAGTGAACCCTTTGTCCTTGTGAAGAAACCAGATGAGTTGGAGCCTTGTGACATTGTGCGTTATTCTGTTTGAAGGGTACCCAATAGTCATGGAGAAATTCAACATGGTCAGGAACAATACAGAGCTAAGCTGTGGTCTTCATCACAGTTATATCACTACCAGACTGAAGCATTGATGGATCCAAGCGTTTCTAATGTTAAAATCAAACTGCGATGCTACCTAATAAAAGTTGTGGCCGGAACAAGAATTGGTGAGCCTGGCAACAGTTTTCCAATCTATTATCATCCACTTTTTACGTAAAAGTCTAAACAACAATCCACTGGACTTGGTTTCCAAGATTTGAAGACGTTTCGCTTCCCCTCCAGGAAGCTTTCTCAATTCAAATGTCTGGATCCGCAGTGAGTTTGAGTTTTCATAAAGACAAGGCCTTGTATTGCTTGGAAACATGCAAATGAAAACCGACGAGTGTTTTGTTTGGTTCCATTGTTAGCCTGTAATAACTGAAACCTGTCTATGATTCTGAAGGTCGGTCGTCAAAGGGGGGGGATTGTCTCCTGTAATACCTGAAACCCTACAGGAGACAATCCCCCGTTTAACGACCAACCTTCAGAATCATAGACAGGTTTCAGTCGGTTTCCTTTGCATGTTTCCAAGCAATACAGGGCCTTGTCTATATAAAGACTCAATCTCACTGCGGATCCAGACATTTGAATTGAGAAAGCTTCCTGGAGGGGAAGTGAAACATCTTTAAATCTTGGAAACCAAGTCCAGTGGATTGTTTTTTAAACTTTTACGGAATGACTAAGACCTGGATGAAAGAAAATCTTCATCCGCGTCATCCACTTTTGGTCAGGCTTTGGGAATTATAGCCGTAGTATCGTCTTTTAAACTAACAAGAGTAATATATTTTGGAGATTTTTAAAATGCTGTTATTTTTTTTATTTGTAACCAGTCAGCTCATTCCTCCCTGACCTTTGACTGACCTTTGACATCACTGTGTACTTGTGCGTCCTCGTGTGCTTGTGAAACGTCATCAGCCTCAGCCCTAGTACTGTTCCAATTCACAAGAACAGCAGACCGAAAAAGGACAAACAACAGATGAGGTTCTCACCCCTCCCTCTTTACCCACAATGCATCAGAGCAGACTTGTCCGTTCTTGAGATTGACAGCTGTCCCAGCATGCACTGTGGCAGCAGCTTTCAATGGAGCGCTGACAGAGTTAGAAGTTAAAAGTTCTCTTTTCTGTTGCTGTTCAATAAAAGTACATTTTAAGATCATTTGAGGAGAGAACATTGTACTTTTAAACGTCACTATATGGCCCATTTACAGATGTAATGCGTAATTTCGTTTTTTTTTTTTTTTTTCCCCTTGCGTAATTTCCAAACTTAAGATGACTGATGCAACCAGCGGACCTCCAAGGGTAATGGCAGCCAGGGCTAACCGCAGCCCGTTTGCAGCAACCCCCTATTAGCATAGCCGTATGGGACCGCTCTGATGGTGAGTTTTTTTTTGTTTTATTTGGCAAAATGTTCATTTGATTTGTGTTTATCTGACTGTGTTAATATTATTCCCCCAATAAATGAAAAAAGGTGACGCCACGAGTACGCCTCTGTTTCAAATGACCCATATTTATGCTGCGTGTTCCCGTTCTCCACGAGTCGAGACCTTCCTGTGTTCTTCTCAAAGACATACTTGGTGAAGACACAAGTCCATACTCTAGTTCTTGTGAATTGAGAAATGACCCCAGGTTCTCACTCACTACTTTCACCATCAGGCTCGGAGGGTGGCTTTATCGGGCAGATTTTTGTGTTTGGCTCATTAATTGACATCAGCTAAAATGTGTCAGAAATAAAAATTCAATTTTTGATACAAACAGGTGAAAGAAACTTCGGCTGTGATTCTGCTCCTCCTCTTCTGAACGATGAGCTGGTCTCTGCCAACCCTGACCCCCGCAAACACGCACAAACCGCTGCTGCTAGCATTAGCATTGAGGTGAACAAAGAGCGAGAAAGTGTAGTTCAGTGCCGATGACAAAAAACATCCTCGTGGAAACACAGGCACATTAAGGAGAGCCGACAAGTTTTATATGCGCTTATTTTAGCAAATATATTAGCTTAGTGTAAGTTTTGCCTTTTTGTGAAATAAACATAATTTTATAAGAAAAATTAAATTATTATGTCGTGTTTATCCACACTGGCTGGAATGAACGTCTGTACTGGGGCTCAGAATTTAATGTTTTTCATTAAATTCATTTTCAAAAGGCTCCAACTTATTTTTGTTTTAAAAGCTGCAGCATTGTTACTTAGATTTAGTTTATTCCCTTGTGTTTAGTGGAGGAAGGAACTTCTCAGTTGCTTGTAAATATTACAAATGTATATTTCTGAGTGTTTTTGTGATTGAATCAGAAGTAAATCAGATACAAACAATCTTCCATTAGCCAGTGTGTTATCATGTTTAGCCTTATGCAGTCACGTATTTTAATATTTAAATGCTCATCTGTAGAAGTGAAATCTAATTATAAAAATACACTAAATGTTTATATATTCATTTCACAGGTAAAGGAAAACAGTCAGGTGTGGAGCCAGTTCATAAAGGATGTAATAGGAGTTGGATGCAGCATCTGCAGTGATTAAGTTAGTCGAGAAGGAGAAAAAACACCATCAATTTGATCTTGAACTGATTTTTTGCAAAAGATGAAAAAGGAACCAAGCAGGACATCTTCTGAGATCAATATCTCAGATTTTCAACTACATTATAAATGAATAAAATACATTAATGATCAAGGTTTGTAGTGAGAAAAGAGGAATGTTGTTTATGAGGTATGTTCATAATGATGAGCACAAACAAAAGCTTACATGAAGACAACTTTGTTGGCTATAAAACTATAACTTGTGTGTCAGCAGCACAGAAACACTGTGCTGAAATATTTCATCCAAAATTAATAGGCAAATAGTGTATAGTATATCGCCTCCATGCTTCTTAAAAATGACAGCATATAACTAACCATTTTAGAAGAATGCATTTTAAATCTTGTCTATAGTTAACTCTATTAAATACTTTTAATTTTTTTTAGCTTTTGGGTGTTACAAACTTTACTCACTCTGGGGGACACGGCTCGGTGTTGCAGTCCCTCAGGTTTTCCGGTGGTTTGCTGCCTGTCTCACAGTAGCTGTTCTGCACCACTGAGTTGTCGTCGAGCCTCTTACACACCACCTCTTGCTTCTGGCTGCCTGAATTTGAAAAAAACACACACACAAAAAACCTCCAGATCAATAAGGCAAGAGAGCTCATCTTAATAGCCCCTCCGAAACACTGAGGTCAGCGGCGTGTGCCAAGAGCCGTGTTTGGGTAGGGATGGTATTGTTTTCATTCTGTAGCTGGTCCAGACATGTAAATTCCTGATTCTTTGCAGGATATGTTGGCAAATCGTTTTTACAGAGCAGGGAGCTCTTTACTTTGGCTCCTGCCGGAGAGAACGAGGGCTACCGTATCAGGGTTGCACCTTCCACTTTGAATGTATGCAAGCATGTGTGTGTGAATGCCACGCTAACTTATACCGGGTCTGCATGGACCCTCAAGGGACGTATCCAGCCATAGACTTGTCTGGCAGATGTAATGAGATATGGATATGTGTGTGTGTAGAGCATAGGAAGTCTACCCATCTGTGTTCTGAGTTAACCACGGTAAGGATGAATAGCTTAGGCGTTGTGGTTAAACAGTTCCAGTTGTAATGTGTCAGAAAGTGTTTGTTTTGCACATATTATTAGTTTCGGAGTATATTAAATACAGCTTAGTAATTACTTGAACTAGTCCTACCAAAAGGGAGAATGATTAAAAACCATTTTGATGATTTAAATCTCTGAACAGTTGAGAGACACAGACATTTGGCTGCAGTTTTAAAATTTAGATTTACAATACAAAGAAGGGTTTAGGATACAGGAAAAGCCAAATGTGCTTCCCCACAGAAAAAAAAAGATCTGCTCTCAACTTGGAAGTCTTTCCTTTAGAATAAACCACATGCTTATTCAGTCATGCTTTTACAAAATATTACAAAACCCTGTCCAGGCCACGTTTGACAACTGGGTAGAAGCACAATTTATTGTTACATGAAACCCACAGAATTTAACTGTGGTTTCAGACTGAGAATGTCTGAATTTTGCAGGACGGGTAGTGTTGAGGAAGAGTGGTTGCATCTCTAGACAACACTGGCCATGCAGTAGAGGATGGATGGATGGATGGGTTGGTGGGAGAATGGATTGATGGATCGACAGATAGATGGATGGATGGATGGATTGACTGATGGATGGATGGGTTGTTGGATGGATGGATGGATGGATGGGTTGGAGGGTGAATGGCTGAATAGATGGACGGATCGACACATGGGTTGATGGATTGATGCATGGATAGACGGGTTGATGGATGGATGTTTGGATGGGTTTACTGATGGATGGGTTGGGTGGATGGATGGATGGATGGATGGATGGATGGGTTGGTGGCAGGATGGATTGTTTGATGGATGGATGGATGGATGGATGGATGGATGGATGGATGGGTTGGTGGCAGGATGGATTGTTTGGTGGATGGATGGATGGATGGATGGATGGATGGATGGATGGATGGATGGATGGATGGGTTGGTGGCAGGATGGATTGTTTTCGTGGGTGGATGGGTGGATCGACAGATGGGTTGATGGATGGATGGGTTGGTGGGTGGATGGTTTGGATCGTAGGTGGATGGATGGGTTGAAGGGTGGATGGATGGATGGATAGACACATGGGTTAGTGGGTGGATGAATAGATGGGTTGATTTAGGGATACATGGGTCGATGGATGGATGGAGAGATGGATGGATGGATGGATGGGTTGATGGATTAATGGATAGATGGATGGATGTTTGGATGGATGGATAGATAGATGGGTTGGTGGGTGGATGGTTTGGATGGTGGGTGGATGGATGGATGGATGGGTTGGTGGCAGGATGGATTGTTTTCGTGGGTGGATGGATGGATCGACAGATGGGTTGATGGATTAATGGATAGATGGATGGATGTTTGGATGGATGGATAGACACATGGGTTGGTGGGTGGATGAATAGATGGGTTGATTTAGGGATACATGTGTCGATGGATGGATGGATGGATGGATGGATGGATGGATGGATGGATGGATGGATGGACAGATGGGTGGATGTCTGGATGGCAAGATGGATGGATGAACGGATGGATGGATGGATGGATAGATGGATGGATGGATGTATGGATGCCAATTCCTTAGCCAGACTTCCCCACTGTTGGATAAAAAGAGCATTCCCACACATTGCATAAAACTTCACCTCCACTGTTCATCCAGGACTACAACATTATCAGTTGTTTAAACCAATATAGGCAGAGCTGGATTTGTGTGCAGATTTGATTTCCTGTTCACTGAACCATAACTTCTTAAGCTGTAATTTTTTGACAAGACCTGAAATGCCAATAAACAGATTCAAGTTCAAGTCACTATGTAACAACTCCTAGGTGGTCCTGATAACAGAAATGATCAGTGTAAATAAACACACTGACAGAGCCCCATTTCACAAACATGAATGTAGGTAAATGTGAAAATGTATGTAACGATCCTCTGAAGCTTTCTAGATCTGCTTTTCCAAGATGTTTGATGCTTTGATTAGCATTAATGAGTGCATAAACCAAAAGATAACATCTTTATAGTCTGATAAGCTGTCAGGATTTTGGCCACAACTTTCTCTCACATCTGTAATGCCTTAGTAGCAGTTGTATTGCAGCTGGAACTGACACAAAACTACATTTGAAGACAAAAAAAAAATGACTTTAATCAAAGACTTACCACCAGCACAAGTAGCTGAGCACTCGGACCATGGCAGGTGGTGCCAGGCGAAGCCTACCTCGTTGTCACCGCTCCCTGTCCGGTGGATGGGAACATTAAACTTGTAGCGTATTCCAAGGTTCTGCTCTTGAAGGAGAACCTGAATAAAAGGAGGGAAACATGTTTATGTGGCTACTTAAACTCATTTTGCAATATTTGTCTTAAAAATGTCTCAGAATTTCCCTCTTTGGTTGAATGGTTATTGCAGAGGAATTTCCTATATGTAAGAACTAGTGTTGCACAGAGACCGACACCAGTATCGGGCAGGACCCCGATCTAGCACTAAACTGGTGGTATCGGTATTGGCGCGTACCAACAAATAGGGCACCGATACCATTTTGAGAGCCAAAAGTTTATTCAACTATTGTCACCCATTCCAGGTAGGCAATAAAAAGTTCTACTGGATTCACTTTTTTATTAGTCTTTTCTCTTCTTCACAAAGGTAGGCAGCAGCTTGACAAAGCCATGATGGCTATTATTTTACATCCAAGTAGTATGCAGTTCTTCGTATATAGACACACGCATCCACTTCAAACAGATGGTATCGGTATGGTATCGCCAAATGACTGCACAGCAAGGTATCGGGTTTAGGTATCTGGGCCAAAAAATAGCCTCAGCGCAACACTAGTTAGAACGGTACATGCTTCTTTTACAGATACATGCTAATCGTGTTTAAGTATAAAAGCAAATCATTCTGACACACTGCTACCGAGCAAAGTGTCTTTACCTCCACGGCTAAATCACTGCTAAATCAGCAAATCAGCCTTAAAGCAAACAGCTCGAACTAAGGCTTCAGCCAACTGGACTCAACAGGGTTGGGGTGAAAAAATTCTTTACCTTAAAAAAGATCTGTTCGAAGCATAACTTTACTAAGTCTCCATGTTTCAAGCTAGGCTAAGCTAAGCTAGCTGGTGCCTGCTCTGATCCTGACCTGTTTAGGGTCTCTTGACACCAACCATTTTGGTGACATTTTCAGATATTTGTGTGGTGGTGGGGTGAATTACACTGTAAAATGAGGAATGCATTAGAATTAGCTTCCCTGCTTAAAGCTGTCAAGCTAATTTGGCTTGAAATCTGGCCACAGATTCCAAAAAAGTAAAAAAAAAACAACAAACAAACAAAAAAACAATTCACTGGAATTGGTTTCCAAGTTTGAAGATGTTTCACTTCCCATCCAGGAAGCTTTTTCAATTCAAATGTCAGCATTAGAATAGAATTCAAAGCTTTAAAAAGTAGCCCAAAAACTTGTTTTGGCTTAAATCTCTGCTATAAAATTCACTATAAAGTCTACTATATAGTCCCCACTCTATATAATGATTGAGGGATTTAAGGGTTAGCCTGGACGTTTGGCCTTAGTTTTTCATTTGATAAGAAATTATTCCACATGTTTTGCTAAGAAAAATCTTGGTAGGTGTGGAATTGAGCCACGCTCCTTCCAGCTTCACATGATACATTAAACAATGCAGCTTAGTGATATTTCCTTATTTTGGAATAGTGCTCTTTAAAACCTAACTCTGCTTTAACATTCTCGTCTTCTTTCTCCATGCTTTATCCCTTCCATAGATGAAATTACACTCATATTGTTTTTATTAACTGGGAATAACCAATTGCTTTTGAAATCAGTTGGTTCTCTAGATTTTATTCAGGGACATAAGAGTAAATGTGTTTGATGATGAATGCACACAGCCAACTAGTAAAGCAGACATATATGGGTTCTAAAATGTGCACTATTTTGTGTGGATCTATCATATTTCACAAGGACTGAATACATTTGTAAAGCACTGCATATGCCGCTAACAGTGCAATAGGTGGACATTAGAGTTGTAGACAGCACAGGCTCCTCTGAATCACTGCACTGTGCTTTGTTCTGAAAGCTTAAAACATACAGTAATCCACCAACAAAGGAAAAGAAAAGAAAGATCGAAGGCAAGTTCATATAAACATTACCACCACTGGGAGTAAAATAGTTTTATGATCACATTTATTGGAGGTCAAGTGTACTAAAGCAGTGATTTTATTGGTTCTACCAGATTTTATGAGGAAAAAAGTTGTTTTTTCAAAGTTATAAGCACAACCTTCAAATTTATTTAGCAAATTCCACATTCTCTTCACTATTGTGAAATACGTGTTTGAATTTATCACTTTTTGTGTTTTTACAGTTCTGAGTTGACATCAAAAAATCAGCTTTATTACCATAACAAAGAGGTTTTCAGTGGTAGGTCCCAGCGCCTCCAAGGACTCGGGTTCATCGGTAGGTCTCCTGTAGTGGAAGGCCGTCCCTGCGATGTCAAACTTCCTGGGCCAGTCAATGGTCCAGGCTCCGTTGATGAAGTAATCATCCTCTTCAGATTTTAGAGCTGACAGATCACAAGATAAATTCATTTAATATCTTTCAGAAAGCTAAAATCCAAAAAAGGCTAGAGTTCTGGTCAGAAGTTTGGATATACTTATCATGAGCATGAACAACATTATCTTTTGGGAGCTTAAATGATATATTGGAACTTTTCTTTGTTTTTTGTGGCCCGATAATGATAAAACTATGTGTGACTACATGGGAAGAGTATTAATCTTACAAATGAGAAGTTGTGGGTTTAAGTGTACATGTACACTTAAACCCACTTAGACGGCCAGCACTAATTTGTGTATCGCTTTATGAAAATTGTGAATGAGCATTTACTGTCAAATTGCTTTAAGTGTCAACCATGGGTAACCAAATAAAAATAACCAAATAAAGAAAATACACAACCAGTAAAGGTCTGGAGACATTTCTAATTATAATCCATTACTTTATACAGAATTTAACACAGAAATAAAATGAGGTGTTTATGCATCCATGTTATACATTGACTTTTTAAATGAAAATATATATATATAAAAAATAGTACATTTTTCCATTTTAAAATCTAAGGTGTTTTTTTTAAGGAGAGAACAACAATCGTTCAGTTTGGTGTATATATATAGACAATTTCCTGATTCACATATTTTATGAAACACCTCTCGTTTCGTTTGTTTCTTTTTTTTTTCTTTTTTATGTCTTTATGAGAGCAGTGGGCTTTAGGCTGCCCTGCAAGGCTTTAAACCTGGGTTTGAATGGAGACAAAGCCATTTTCAAGCACATATTAAGGTGGTGATTTTGAGCCTGGATCCATATTTATTTTTTATTAAATTCATGGCGGAGAATCCTGCTTCACAGCAGCAAATTGAGCCAAACATACTCTAAATGTGCAGGGTCATCTCTGAGCACACTATTTCACTTTTCTGTCATCAGTTCCAGCAGTCCACACTTTTTTTTCACTTTTTCTCATCATCTTCCCTTTCTCACCCATCACCCGGCTTGCCACAGGTTTGCCTGTTGTGTCTAAAAGTAGCTAACAACAGCAACCCGGACTGACAGCTCATTGGCTAATTTGTATCTCGTGTAGCCTTGTCCCAGGTCATCTGGATGGCTTTACCATATTAACAGGAGATGATGTGATTTATAAAGGTTTTAAATCAGGTTGGGTCCGGATTAGCCAGCAGGTGGGTCCTGATTCGGACCGCAGACCACTAATCCGTGACCTCTGACCTAAACTACCACCATATATCTATACATTTCAGACCAAATTATCCTGCTGGCAAATTTGAATTTAAAACAACTTTCAATATTCCCAATTTGTTTATTCTGATTTAAATCAGTGGGTTGAACTGCAAATTGGGATGATGGCAAAGAGGGTTTTCAACTGGATGGGGACTTCATAAAAGATAAATCACTGAAACACCAGTAGAAACTTGGAAAAATCTCGTCAGCAACTGTGATTGATTATTGAGTGGGTATGGATCATTTTTAACAGCTAATTTTTTCCTGGATCCTGTAAGAAATTACTCTTTCCTAAACAAGGTTAAGTTTATAGTTGAATAACGGCAAATCTACACTGCACTGGCCACTATATGATGTAGAGCTGTCTACCTGCTCGATAAGGCACATTTCTTGTCAGCCAATTACATGGCAGCAACTCAATGCATTTAGCATGTAAACATCATCAAAGGTGATTTAAGTGACTTTGATCGTGGCATGGTTAATGGTGCCAGACGGGCTGGTAGGAGGATTTCGGAAAATACTGATCTACCAGGATTTTCGTCCATCTGTAGGGTTTAATAAGAATGGTCCAAAAAAGAGAAAATATCCACTGAATTGCATTTTTGTGGGTGCAAGTGCCTTGTCGATGCCAGAGGTCAAAGAGAATGGCCAGACTAGTTTGAGCTGACAGAAAGGAAACAGTAACTGAGACAACCAGTCGTTAGAACGGAGGTATTCCAAAGAACATCTCTGAAGGAACAGCACAACAGACCTTGAGGTGGATGGGCTACGGTAGCAGAAGACCACTCCTGTCAGCTAAGAACGGAGGCCATAATTTTCTTAGTCTCATTCAAACTGCATAATAGAAGATTTAAAAAATTGTTGCCTGTTCTGACGAGTCTCGATTTCTGCTGCAACATTGCGATGGTAGGGTCAGAATTTGGTGTCAAGAAGATGAAAGCTTGGACCGATCCTGCCTTGTATCAACGGTCCACGCTGGTGGTGGGGTCATGGGGTGGGGGATATTTTCTTGGCACACTTTGGGCCCCTTAGCAGGAGTTGAGCATCATGTCATCATCATAAACATAGTATTGTTGGTGACCATGTCCATTACTTTATCACCACAGTTTACCCATCTTCTGATGGCTACTTCCAGCAGATAAGATGCCATTTCATAAAGCATACGTAAATAATCTCAGACTTGTTACTTGAGCATGACAATGAGTTCACTGTCCTCAAATGATCTCAATCCGATGGAACAATTTTGGGATGTGGAGGAACAGGAGATTCTCGTGATGAATGGGCATCCGACTAATCTGCCGCATCTATGTGATGCTATCTTATGAATATGGACCAAAATCTCTGAGAAATGTTTGCAGTACCTTGTCAAATCTATGCCATGAAGGATTATGGCCAGTGTTGTGCATGAACCAGTTCAATGGATGGCGTTCATTTAATATGTTCATATTTTTAGTGAACAGTGAACTGAATTAATTAGTTTTGAAGTAATGAAACTAGACTACAGCGATATTCACTCTGAGAATAATGAGCAACACACAGCTCACATTCGCCTTCAAATAATAAAAACACTTTTCATTGGATAACATCAGGTTTTACTACAGCAAACAGCATGACAAACCAGTATATCTACTGCTAGTACTAGTCTGTGGGATTCAGACTCATCTGCTGGTATTTCTGATGCCAGTTTTGCAGAGCGCATGGCGGAGTTTTATGATCTAACAAAGGAAGACTTGGAACACTTCTATGCAAACTGTGCCCATTAAGACTTAACAAACAGGTCCATTCGTCAGAAACATCCATATTAAATTTAAAGCGACACATTGACTTAAAGCATCCGAGCAATGTTGGGAAATATCTGCCACTGAATAAGGAATGTAAGAAATCATTTTTTAAGCAGATCTTTTTAGCAGAACCTGAATGTGCCCCCTATGTTTCTGAAGTTCTGTGTAATTTGGCTAAATAAAGGCTTCACTGCATACTATACTACACTATACCTTACCTGCATCAAGTATTTTCAATTTCTTTCTATATATTATGATCACACATTTAGAGGTTGAAATATGAGGTTGTATTTTGTAGGATTGTGACTTAATTTACCAAATAATCTTGAACATAAATGAACTAATTCAATTATAGGTTTGTGAGCTTACTTTACATTAATTTTCAGAAAAAGTGAAATATGAACATGAGCCAGTTCATTTTCATCTGTGTGTGAACTGATATTTGAACTTGTTCTTTTTAATTATGAACTGGCACAACATTGATTATGTCAGTTTTGAAAGTAAAAGGGGGTCCAATCCAGTACTAACAAGGTGTACCCAATAAAGTGGGTAAGCCAAAATCTTCCAGAGGTTAGAACCCCTGAAGGCTATCTGTTTTATTGGCAAAAAACAACTTTGGCTTAGCTACCTATTGTGTTTCAAAGCAGAGTTAGACGGCCACAACATGAGACTCTGGGTCACATGACTCATCCAGTGACAGATCCGACCCTCTCGAGTCGCCTAGGTGCGTTTTTTTAAGAAGGGCAATCCTTATGAAGCATCAATACCCAACAAATGCTGTAACTCCCTTGATAAACACTTTAATATATATTTAATAAAGCCAAAACTTGGGTCAAATGCTACACAGAGATGTTTTAAAGCTCTACTGGCCATACGGACAAGCCTTCTGGCTTTTACGGTCAAATGACAGAAGGATTTAACTATTTAGCCAAAATGACAAGAATCCACATAGGGAATGGTGCTGTATAACAAGCAAGTAGTGTAATATTCAAGATAAGGACATTTTATCTAAAAACTCCAATATTTTCATACTCATAGAAACACTCTGCTTCTGTTAAAAGTTCCTGTAACTGATCAGTTTATTTTACATGGGTCAGTTGCTTTCATAACTTTTATTGCTGATCAAGCTTTTCCTAACATTCTACACAATAAAATAAATACCAATGGCCGCTATGATTCATACTAGTATCCTATCGGGTTAATATCGGTATCAGCCAATTCTCTAAGCTGCAATATCGGTATCATATCGGAAATGAAAAAGTTGTTTCGGGACATCCCTTCCAGTGAGAGTACCTGATGGCTTCCAAAACTATGTGATAGAAATAGGATCTACTATTTAAAGAAATATTGATGGGAACTCTATGTGGGAGTGTTGGCCTAGTGGTTAGAGCAGTATGCTTGTGCTCAGAGAATGTTGCAAGTAGCCGGTTCAATCCCCATAGCCTTTACTCTAGGTTCCTTGAGAAAAACCCTTAACCCCACATGATGTGTTAAATACCCAGAGCGAATTTCACCAATGGGACATAATCCATCCATGCTTTTTCTGTCACTCTTATCCCAAGCAGGGTCGCTGGTGCCTATCTCCAGCTGTCTATGTGCGAGAGCTGGGGTCCATCCTGGACACGTCGCCCGTCCATCGCATGGTAAGACAGAGGCTATTCACATTTAAGGAAAATTTAGAAAGCCAATTAACCTTATCGTCATTTTTTTAGACTGTGGGAGGAAGCCAGAGTACCCACAGAGAACCCACACATGCTAAGAGAGAACAGGCAAACTCCTGGGAATCGAACCCAGAACCTTCTTGTTGCAAGGCAGCAGTGCTGCCGACTGCATCACTGAGCAGCCCAGTATGAGATCAATAAATTTCAATTATTAATATTAAGTCGGACACTGTTTGAATGAGTAAAAGAAATCCCTGTCAATTAAAGCATGTGCACCCAAGCACCCAGTCATTACATCCTGATAGAGAATGACTTGAATCTATCTTTGAATCACATTT